TGCGACGCCTATCATGGTGCTGCCTCCTCTCCTGCTTGTGAAGCTGCAGAAGACAGAATGGCTCAAGCAGAGGCCCAGGATGGTGACGCCAGTGAATCTGGGTGAGTCATCGTCGGAGACGTTCGTGGGATGATAGCTAACGCGCAATCAGGACTCATTTTCACGACATCCATATTCGCGCTGCCACTTGCGCTCGCTGCGTTCCCACAACGCCAGGCTGTCAGTGCGCAGTCGCTCGAACCCGAGTTTCATCAGCGCGGTGGCAAGGATGGCATGGTGGAGTTTAACCGTGGGATATGATGGACCGGTAGTATGGGAAGAGAACACGGTGGCTGTATATCTGAACAGCAGGGACAGAACTATTGTGTGAAATGCTTCAGGCGTATATGCCATGCTGCAGGCATCAGACGCAGTCGAACATTGCTGCAAGTAGGTGGAGGACATGGTCGCGCTGCTACATTGCGGCGAAGACGGTTTTCCTGACGCTGTGATTGGCCAGATTGCTCAAAGGATCTCGAAGGGCATACAGAGGACTCGACACGATTACTAGATAAGACCAAATGTCCTCAATCCAAAAGAAGTGTTAGGCAGCAGTGAATTAAGCTTTTCATCAAACGACCGTCTCTACATGTGACGTTGCGTTGATGCTATAACGTCAAAGTGTCCTTTGGAGAAAGACCAGGTGTCAAATAAGTCCGGGACAGGGTAGCTCGATCTAAGTACATTACTACGAAACCGCCCTCGCATTTCAACACTCAAAGGACCACGGTTTCGACCGACAACCTATTCACCGCTTTTTCTCTGGGATAGATTCCCGATCACTCTCTTCTCTTCTATCGAGGTTTTCTACTGCAACGTATAACCTCCCACACTTCTTCCCCGCGGCGAAGCACGCACATCCCACCACAACCTCTCCACGCCTGCCATTAACGACACCTTTCGCTTTCCGCACCACACCACACATCATGGCGCCACCCGGACGCCGGAGAGGCAACCTCTCACCGGGAGCCATGCTCCTTGGTCTCTTCTTCCTCTTCTCGACGACCGCCTCCGCCGCCTCAGCCGTCATCGGCGTAGACCTAGGCACCGAATACATCAAAGCCGCGCTCGTAAAGCCCGGCGTTCCCCTCGAAATCGTCCTGACCAAAGACTCGAAACGGAAAGAGACGTCAGCCGTCGCTTTCAAGCCTTCCAAGAGCGGTGCTCTGCCTGCGGGCTCCTTCCCCGAGCGCTTCTACGGCGGCGATGCGATTGCGCTCCAGGGACGTTTCCCGGGCGATGTATACCCGAATTTGAAACACCTTCTTGGTGTATCGAGTGAGAGCGATATCGTGGGCACGTACAAGGAGAGATACCCTGCGTTGGAGGTTACAGGGACGGACAAGCGCAACACGGTTAGCTTTGTGAGCAGCGTCTTCGCTGAGGACAAATCATACACGGTTGAGGAGCTACTGGCTATGGAGTTGAAGAACGTCAGGGAGAACGCAAAGGCGATGGCGGGCAAGGGCTACGATATCCAGGACGTTGTCTTTACGGTTCCGGCATTCTACACGGTCGACGAGAGGCGCGCGCTTGAGGTTGCTGCTCGTCTGGCTGGTCTCAAGGTGCTCAGCGTTGTGTCAGATGGTCTGGCTGTTGGTCTCAACTATGCTACTGGCAGGACTTTCCCTGACGTTACCAAGGACGGCAAGCCGGAGATGAACCTCGTGTTTGACATGGGCGCCGGATCTCTGTCGGCTACTGTTCTCAAGTTCCAGGGCAGGTCTGTCAAGGATGTTGGCAGGCGCAACAAGACTATCCAGGAGGTTCAGGTCATAGGCGCTGGATGGGACAGGACGCTTGGAGGTGACGCGATGAACTCGCTCATCGTCGACGACATGGTTGCTACCTTTGTTGAGCTTCCAGCTGCCAAGAGCGCTTCTTTCACCGCCGACAAGGTCAAGGGCCATGGACGCACCGCTGCGAAGCTCTTCAAGGAGGCTGAGAGGGTTCGCCAGATGCTCAGCGCCAACAAGGAGACTAACTCTTTCTTCGAAAGCTTCTACGAGGATGTCGATTTCAAGTACAAGCTCTCCCGTACCAAGTTTGAGGAGCTCACTGCCGACTACGCCAAACGTATCGACGGACCGATCAACCAGGCCCTCGCAGCCGCTGGCCTTACCTTCGCGGATATCGACTCTGTCATCGTCCATGGTGGCGCAAGCCGCACACCCTTCGTCCAGGCCCGTCTCGAAGCAGTCGCAGGCAAGAGCAAGATTAGGGCGAACGTCAACGCCGATGAGGCCGCCGTATTCGGCGCTGCATTCAAGGCCGCTGGTCTCAGCCCGTCTTTCCGCGTGAAGGAGATCCGTGACTCGGACACCCAGGGCTACAATCACGGCTACCAGTACATGCTCAACCTTAAGGAGCGCGACCAGAAGATCTTCACTCCCAACACAAAGCTTGGCGCGACCAAGGACCTGCCTTTCAACTTCATGGGCGAGTTCGAATTCACCATGTACCAGGCTGTTCCTGACGCTAACGGCGAGGTGTCCAAGGAGCCTACTCTTCACTTCCAGAGCGGTAACTTGACCAAGGTTGTTACTCACATGATCAACGAGAACAAGTGTGAGCGCGACAGCTTCAACAACTATGTTCAGGTTAGGCTCAGCCCTGTTACTGGTACTCCCGAGGTTTTGTCTGCGTGGGTTACCTGCGAAACTGAGAGTGAGGATGTCAAAGGCGGCATTGTCGATGGTGTCAAGAACTTGTTTGGTATGGGTGGCAAGAAGGATCAGGAGCCGTTGAAGGAGGGCGAGAGCTCTTCTTCTTCATCTGCCTCGTCCTCCAAGTCCTCCAAGTCATCGTCGTCTTCGTCTTCCGCAGGTGCTGAGAGCACTGATGCTGCGAAGGCTGGAGAAAAGAAGATTAAGACTGTTAGGTCTGCGATCACATATGATGTTGAGCAGTTGGGTTACAAGAAATTCCCTCGCAAGGAGATGAAGAGGATGCAGGACAGGTGAGTTTGTGTATTTTGTTCTATTTGTACAAATCCTAACGTCAACAGGCTTGCCGCTTTCGATTCATCTGACAAGTCTCGCCGCACCCGCGAAGAGGTCTTGAATTCGCTTGAAGCCTTCACCTACCGCGCCCGCGACTACCTCGAGGACGAATCCTTCATCGGCGCTTCCACCTCTGCCGTCCGCGACACACTCGAGAAGACCCTCAGCGCCGCGTCAGACTGGATGTACTCCGGTGGTGCCGATGCCGACGAGAAGACTCTCAGGAGTAAGCTCAAGGAGCTCGAGAACATTGTCAACCCAGTGATGAAGCGCAAGGACGAAGCATCCAAGCGCCCCGATGCCATCAAAGAGCTCAAAGACACCATCGCCCACATCAAGGAAGTCGAGCAACTTGTCGATGGCCAGATCAAGACGCAATCTGCCGAGAGCTCCAAGAGCAGCGAAGCCGTCTCCAAGGCCTCCGCTGACGCCTCCGCCTCACCTTCCACCGACCCCATGGACGACCTCGACGAAGAAGCCGACGCACCCGCCGCACCTGAAATCACCGAAGTCCCTACCATCTACACAGAATCCGATCTCAAGACCGTTCAAGAGCACGCACAGAAAGCACAAGTCTGGCTCGACGACAACGAAGCTAAGCAAGCTGAGCTTGGTCCCACAGATGATCCCGTCTTCACGGTCAAGGACATCCTGGCTGAGAAGAAGAAGCTAGACGACGTCGTCATGGACATGATGATGAAGAAGATGAAGCACTTCAAGCCGCCGAACCAATCTAGCTCGAAGACCAAGACTGCGAAGCCGAAGACGAAGAAGGCGAAGAAGACTAAGACGAAGAAGGCGGCGAAGGCGGAGACGAAGGAGACTGATGTCCCTGCTGCAGATGGTGAGAGCGGTCCTAGCCAAGCGGAGTTGGAGGAGGCGTTGAAGAAGGCGGGGTTTAGTGCTGAGGGTATTAAGTTGCAGAATATGGGGAGTAAGACGGATGGAGAGGAGGGCGATGTGACGGATGAGAAGGGCAGGTTGCTGAAGAAATTGGATATTGGGGAGGGGGCGAGTGAGGAGGATATTAAGGCTGCTATTGATAGGCTGGTGGCGGAAGGGGGTAAGGGGAAGAGGGAGGAGGGAAGTGATGAGCTGTAGATGGGGTTATAGTAAGGGAAGGGAAGCATGTGCGAGTAGGAGGGTGAAGTGGGGTAGACAGATGCATAGATCGATGGAGTGATTAGATTATCAATGCGAATGAGAATTTGACACGTCAATGCTGGGTATGAATATTGTGTTCAGCTTGTACTAGCAAAATCGTCTTCTAGGCTAACAGAAATCGTACACAATTGTCGCTTGCTGCTTGCGCAAGGAGTAAGAGCGGGGTTGTACTCTGTACTTGCAATGATCCGTCCCTAACTGGATGTGCACGTTGCATCTTCTGGTATTCGTGCTTGTCTAGCAATGTTTTAAGGTTGATCACAATTACTTTGGGTGTCAGGCTCTCGCGGTAACGTGAAGGTCGGATACCTGCTAGTAGTACGCAGCCCTTACAAGTCTACAACAACGCTCTTAAATTAAAACCTAAGAAGATAGAAATACTCGCAGTGATATATTGTGTTTATCTTATTATTTATTTGCGACGTTGTAGAGTAGATTAAGAGGATAACGTCTTGTTGTTCCTGCTCTTATTTCTGACTTTCACGTTACCGCGAGAGTCAGGCTCATGGCTTCCATACCCTGAGTGCGTAGGGGAGGTAGAGGGGAAGGGCAATATCTAGGGAGGGGAATTAGGAACAGGCTCTTGTAGAAGGGTGGTGAGGGGAGAAGTGACGAGACTAGATCGAGCTAGATCGAGCAGATTGGGATGAATGCGAACCTTTGAATGTAAAACGCTAATTACGTATGCTATGTTCTACCCTCCTTTTCCGTACTCCTATTTTCCTCGTATAACCATTGTAATATGTGCTATCATTGCAACGCCAGTATGAGCAAAGCATGCGCCTTTGTCGCCAGTCACTTTTTCTGCCCCTGGGCTTTTTTCTGCCCCTCAGCCATCGCTGCAATGAGAAACATGCCTCCCAGGACAGCTTTCCCCACATATTCCGCTCCAACTCTGGCCGTATTGGTATAAGTTCTCTGCGGCAATTCCTTATTCAAAGCAGCTTTCAATTTCTCGTCCTTCCATTTGGAAACGAGATCTCGACATTTTTCAGTAAACTGTCCATGCTCGATGAGAATCTTGAGAACCTCCAGACGTTCTTGAAAAGCGTACTCCCCGCGTTGCTCCGTCCACGCAGGCTCATTGGCGCAAAGCTCCTCGGTTGGAGTAAAGGAGGAATCGCACAACTCCTTGAGATTGGCGTTGTGCTTGATTATGGCTTCGACCGTCGGAGCACATTGGTCTAGAACAGAGAAATGCAGAATCGAATGCCGACCTCTTCTCCCGGCTTGTGTGTAATCGTACACAGGATTGATGGGGCCATCGATAGACTTCGCCCACAAGTCGACCTTCTCCTGCCCACAAGCCAGGTGTATTGGAAATCTGCCACTTTTGTTTTGCAGGTACAATGAGACACCGGTGGCAAGATGCGCGTTCACTATGAGCTCGGCGACATCGATCGAAGAACGATCGAATGCTGTGTGAATTGGTGCATACCCGGATGAGTCGCTCAGTCTCAGGTCTGGCGCAGTTTCCAGAATTCGTTTGACTTTGTTCAGGTCTCCACTATCGATCGCATAACGGAGAGGACTTCGTCCAGTGGTCCGATCGCACAAGTGCACACTCGCGTGGTGACGGAGCAGCTCGTTCAATATGCTGAGCGTCCCATCCCTTGCGACCACGTGCAGAGGAAAAAAGCCATCCGGTCTCGCCGTTGTCAGGATATCTGCACTCGTGTTCAGAATCGCCCGTATCACCAGTGATCTGTTATCACGAACAGCGTCGTAGAAGAGTTCCTGCCTGACAGCGTTGGATATGGTCTTTCCTGCAGCCGAAGAGAGAAGCATGCTCTCAATCATCTCACAGATCATCTTTTCAGAGATCTCACGTTGGAGGTATGCCATACGCAGGGGAGAGCAATCGTCTGCACCGAGCGCGTTGACATTTGCGCCTTTCCTCACCAGTTCGCGAACGGTATTGACATGTCCCAGACGAATCGCGCTATGGAGCGCCGTGTTGTCATCCATGTCTTGTATGTTCGGGTCCGCGCCCGACTTCAGTAAGTCGATTTGCACAGTCTCTTCGGTCGCAACCATCAAGGGTGTCTGTTGGTGCCGGTTTCGCGCATCGAAGTTGGCGTTTTTTGACACAAGATAACGGACCATGGTTGAATTGCCACTCCGAGCAGCAATGTGTAGGGCCGTCTCCTCCTCCTGAAGCTCAACAGAATTGACGTCGACGTTCCCCTCAACGAGTGCTTCTAGAGCTGGGAGGTGCCCCTTCTTGGCCACGATATGGATAGCCGCACAACCGTGCTGGTCATGCATCGCGAGGAAGTTGACGTCTGCGTTGTTCCTAAGGCATTCCCTGATGCCTTCAGCATCACCGTTGTCCGCGGCAGAGATGAGCTCCTCAGAGTATGTTCCGCCCAGATACGCTCGACGGTCCCCAGCGAGTCGATACCTGAACCGATAGTCCGGGGTCATCGGCTCCGTCGCTGGCTCATCAAGCCTCGTAGTCGCATTGGATGTAGCTGGAGGTGCGTTGTAAATCCAGTCCAGGTCTTTCAGGTTATCAATACGACTTCGCACCTCAGTCTTTAGCGATTTTATCTCCGTCTCGTTCCAAGCGTATAGAAAGCGATCTAATCGCTTGACTTTGGATACTTTGCACTCGTGTTTCTCTGCAAAGGTGTTCACCTTGTCCAGAGCGTGCTTGAAGACCTCCAAGCTCTCACGACTTCGAAGCTTCAGCGTCTCGTCCGCGTCAGTCGGTAGCTGGAAGCGGTCTAAGATTTCCTTTGCGTTTCGAACATCGTCTAATAGGAACTTGAGGTTGTCTGGCGCATTCTTATAGCTATTGTGGGCGTCGTAGATGACCTTGAGCGATTCTACAGTCTTTCCTGCGAGTGTCGCGCAACCGGCGGTTAGCGACACGATAGTGAAGGGATCCATGGAGAGACGCTGGGCACTGGATGTTCAGACAGTGATGAAGGTGTGTAAAGTATCGCGGAAAGCTGGTGGAGATGGTAAGAGGTGGAAGGAGCGGCGGAGGTGATACACCAGTGCGGCTGTGAGGGTGGCAACATCAACAAAGAGGATGGCAGCCCGACGTGGCAGACGGCGCGTAGAAGGTAGCGGAGCCTGACCTAACTTCCATGGGCGCATCTAGATATGTCAGTGGCACTGACTCACTCATCACTCCGTTTACGAGCTCACCTACAGACTAAGAACGTATCGCCTTGGAAGTGATCTGGGCGCTCGAAGTCTCGTCCTTTGGCGGCTGTTGCAGCGAGGCTGATGCGCCGCCACTGTGCACACCTTGCATGCATCAAACATGGTTGCGTTAAGCGACGATGATGAGACAGCCTCGGAAGGCTGCTCGGGCTCAGCCTTGCTGCCCAGGTGGCCGTTCCGCTGCCTTGAATGTGACCGCTAGCGTATTGGCGACTGTACGATGTCAGTCCTTTACATGACCCTTTTTTTGGTTTTGGCGTGCTCTATCGCGACTAGAGATTAGGGGACATCAGGTCAGACATGGGAGTTCCCACGTTTGTGAAGGCTTCATGGCGGCGGTCCTTCTCCGAACGGGACCTTCCACGAAAGCGAACGCGAGAAAGAACATATCCTAGGGCAGGTGTGCGATTTCATTTGAGGTAACTCCGTGAGTACTCAACGAGCGAAAGGCGTTCGTGAAGCTTGAGGAACTGTCGTGCTGAAGTACGCTGGTGGCAAGAAGCTCTGAATGTCACTGTGCAGTCCGATCCTTAGTATCTTCGCCTGGAGTCGCGCTAAGTAATTCTTTGGTCCTCGATAATACGAAATCAGCGACGGGTGAGCGGTAGAGATGATGTACTTACATAAGCAGCGGCTGCGGGGGACGAGGATGCATCAGACCACGAGATCGGCGAGCCAGATGGAATTGGTATGCTACTTCTCTCAAAGTAGATCTTTTGGACACTGTTTATCTACTCTTGAATGTGACAAGTGAACGGCTTCAGGGAGTGGAAGTTGCATCTTATGGCTTCCACACCTTCCAACCCTCCACTTCAGCGCCCGCGCTCTCGAGCATCAACTCCACATCTATTTCAACCTCCCTAGCTGTCTTGTCATCGTAATCGTAAGTAGAGTGTGCACCTTGCAACAAGATGACATTAAACCCAGCGGCTAGAGCACGTCTGCATGTTGAAAGCACGCAGCATTCACTTTGTATGCCAAAGGCTACGATTGTGTCTACACCCGAGCTTTTCAGCTGGGACGCAAGCTGAGGGTTGGAGGAGAAGGTATCGCCTAAACGCATTTGTCAAGAGATTCCAAGACCACAATATAAATACTCACGGACATCCTTCTCTACCAGTCGTTCCCATCTATTCCCCTCTCGTGGCTTAAACACCAACTCCCACGCCTTACTCCCTTTCACCAGCGGTCCTTTCTCAGCGAGCTCTTCATGCTGCACAAACACGATCTCCAAATCTGGTTCTCGGCCCTGTTCACACGCCGTATCGATGGCCCGACGCGCTCTCTGCAGGATGCTCGTCCCGGCTTCGCGGATACGATCCGCATGTGGTATTTCGGTCGCTGTATTTTGCGCTAATTCGACTTGGATGTCGATTACGAAGAGGGCTGTTCGTGGCATGATGGGTATGGGGTTTGGGGATGAGGAGGGGGGTTGTGATGTTGTGCATGTTGGGTGTATGGCGTATGAGTCATGGTCAGTATATTGGCGGAGGTAGAGCCGAGACATTCTGGAAGACTACGAGTGCGATTGAGTTGGTGAATCAATCTGTCGTCTTCTGGAGATCTAAGTAATGCTAGAATTTACTTGTAGTGTCTCGTCATGGATGGCGCGGGAAGGCTGCTCATTGTTCTCGGTTGAGTAATGAGATGCTAGACGCCGCTTGTAGTTAAGTGAACATTTCTACTGTGAGTTCATGTCCATGTAGTATCTAGAAAGCTTGAAGCTCTCGAGTCCGCTGCCTGTACACTGGCCAGCTTGAGTAGATGGATTTGCCCTTATACGCGTGAAATAGGAGCCATGAAACGCAGAGTTCAAGCCAGCGAGGGGCAGAGTATGCCAGACTTGGAATAGTGAGTCGATGCAGCATGTGCTGGCTATCGTGGTTGTGGTAATTACGAGCGAAGAGGAATTAGTTCAAACAGGAGGGGTAGACTGTGCCCCGCCGCAGAGCCAGCACAGCGATACGTGGACATGAAGCGGCTGGTAAGAAGCTTCGATGAATCGATGAAGGCGTCAAGGATATATCGTGAGATTGGTAGCCCTTCTTTGTTTTGACGAGCTTGTGCCACCTGCGATCGTCTTCCTACACCGACCTTTTTACAAAGACGTGAATCAGCGACTCAAAGATTTTCTGGTTTTCGCCATGCGCGCGTGCAACGGTCTGTCTCGTGGTGGGGTACTGGCTATCTTTGAGTAGTCATGTTACATGCTGCAGAATGAGGCTGTACTCGCATGGAGGAAGATCCAGATCCTATCAAAGGCGAGGGTTCTCAAAAAGGCATGCAGGCGGGAACACTACCGGGGCGTCACCCACTGAAATCCGAAGGCTCCATGCTGGAAGGGTTGGAAAGTATGGGGCGCGAGGCCGTTGGTGTACATTTGGGGTTAGGCGCCAAAGTGTCGGTGTGTAAACAAACTCCAGCACGCTCTTGACACGTCGACAACGCACGCGCTAGCCATCCCAACCACCTCGCAGCCAACCCCCACCGGGTGCCGCCTCGGCTCACCATGAATTTCAGATGATGGGATCCCTGGCCTCCCATTCTATCTATCTTGCAATTGTTCCATCTCACAAACTTTGAGTTACACATTGCGAAGAATTGTTGGAAGAAAGGTCGATATGGCTACTACGATGCACCACCCGTCTCCCCAGCCGGGCCTTACCTCATTCGCCATCTACGAAGACCCACAGGATCGCGAACCCTTGTCGCCGTCGGACTTGTTCGACGGCAGTGACTCGTACCACTCCGAACGCTCGTTCCCCATGGCCCACGACGTTGTACATAGCATTGAGCTGGCACAGCAACAGGAGCCCGACGACGAGCCCCAGCCCTACCGCAGCTCCTACACCTCGCGCCCGGGGTCGCAGCAGCGCATGTCCTCGCACTACAGCTTCGTCTCGGCTATCCCCTCCGAGTCGTCGATAGCTTCGAAACCCATCCTGCCCGCTAACGAGGCCGGTGCACGAGCACGCAAAGAACGTCCGCGCTTCCGGAATACTGAGTCTGTCCGCGCCATGCAGATGTCGTCGCCGCCGCCCACACTCGCACACCAGACCTCCCAAGAGCGACTCAAAGGGTCCTTCAAGCTGGCTACACCTAGCAGGAGCAGCAGATCAGAGCACGACATGTCGAGACAGTCTACCGGCTCACGGAGAAGGAGCATACGGGAGCCTCATAGTCCGAGACCGACCCCGACACCGCAGCAGGCGCCGCTGGTCCTGTTGCATGTTACCATTCTGCCCATGCAGGTACCGTACTCGCACGACATCATGGCCAGGATCATGCCTGATTGGCTGGTGGAGAACTACAAGCTGCTGGAGGAGAAGCTGCAGGACATCATCCTGATGCGGCGCGGGCTTCTCATTCCGCACCCCAGGGACGAGTACGACCTGCTCGAGGAACGCATACTGGAGAGCCTGGAACTCAGGACACCCCGCCTGCTCCCGTGCGGCCACTTCGTCCCACCCGAGGACGAGGACGAGCGGGAAGACGAGGACGATGTCGCGAGCGTCGGCGACGAGAACACCGGACGGGGCAGTCGCATGAGTGGAGGCACACTGACGGAAGGAAGCAACACCTCCCACAACGGCGACCACAGCATGTGCATAGACTGCCACCGCGAACTCAAGAAGCCCGGCAAAGGCATCGGTGCCGGCACACGGAAATGGGACATCAAGATCTACGCCGCCAACGGTCTGATGCGCGCCGCCGCCTGGCAAGCCTGCTGGAACGACATGGAAAGATGCGACGTCGAGATCCACCCCTGGATCCCCGAGGAGGTCCGCAAGACGCTCGAGCGCCGCGCCCAGGAGGAGCAAGAAGCCGACAAGCGCAAGGCACAATACACCGTCGAACTGCAACGCCAAATCCAAGAAGCCGCCGTCAAGACCAAGATCCTAGAAGAGGAAGCCAACGAGGCGAAGCGCAAGGAGGAAGCCGAACTACAAAAGAGCTTCGAAGAGGCCGCCGCCGCTCTACAAAGAAGCATCGAAGAGAAAGCAGCTGAGAAGAAGAGGTTCGAAGAGGATCTTCAGGCCAAGCTCAACGAAGCGAAGGAGGCTGTTCGTCTTGAACTCGAAGCCAAAGCCCTCGCTGAATCCGATGCCGTCGCCCAGCGTCTCCGTGCGCTGGAAACTGCTATCAAGGAACAAGAGAGCGCTGAAGCTGCCACACGTCTCTCAGCAGCTCAAATACCGCTCAGCACGCTGCTGAAGAACTACATCATTCTTCTTCTCAGCGATAAGCGCAACTCTATCATCTTGCTGTTGGCTGTTGCGGTTGCGTACATGGCGATGAACATGCGTGCTGCTCAGCAAGCACCCGCGTCGGCGCAGATGCTCGAGCTACCGACGGAGGTTGTGGCAAACATGCCGAATGCTGTTACGGCTACGATGACTGCGACGAGTTACTCCACGTTCACGGTTACAGAGTTTGCGACTGCGACTGCTGTCCCGGTTCTTGAGGTTGCGGACCCGGAGATCGAGTCTGTGGCTGAGGAGGTGAAGGCTGAGGTTGAGGTTGTTGTCGACGAGAAGGCGGAAGAAGAGATATCTACCAGCCCCGCTGTAGACCTCGAGCTCTTCGACGTCATTGTGGAGCAGTCTACTCCCCTCGCTGCTGCTGAGGTTGAGGTGAAGACGAACGTCCTTGTCGCTTCCAACCAGACGCCCGCTGAAACCTCGTTCTGCGCTTCAGAAGTCGAACACGTCTTCGAGGCTCCGCTTGCGTACTGCGCGGCTTCTGCTTAGACGCTCTCACGCAACCTCTTCCGCCTTCCTCCCTCCTCCATCGCCTTCTCCCCACCCCGCATATTTCCTCCTCTTTTTCTTTGTTATATTTCTCCTTTTCTCTTTTCTATGAAGCTTATAACGCATACCCCCTCACGGCCTCTAGCATCTACCTATCTATATGCATATACATGTGCATTTGCGTTTGCGTTTGCATACATACACCACACGATACTATACCATGTCTTTCATGTTTCATGTTCATGAAGTAATGTAGCGGTTTCGATTGAAGATATCCCTTTTCTTTCGCTTTTTTTTCTTTATGGGTGTGGTTTGGTTTGGTTAGGTTAGGTGAGGTTGAGGCATAGCGGGTTGTTGGTTGACGGGTTGACGGGTCGGATAGTTTGGCTGTGGATATGGATATGGATATGGGAGTATATACCAATACTGAAGAATGAAGATATGATATCATTATGTTACCGTGTGCGACTTGGTTTCAGTGTGTTCAAGTCACTGTGAGAGGCTGAATTGGCAGTGTAAATACGGAGGGTAGCAGGCATGTCAGTATAGTGTGGAGCATTCGACATAGCTTTAAAGTTCGTTCGACATGTGAAGGAGCATAGTAGTCCGATAGACTGGTCTTCGTGATTATCAGGTTTGTATCCAATAGAGCTCTGCAAGTATCATCATGCACAAGCATCCATGCTCCCGTCTTCCTGACCCCAAGCCACACCACTATCCACCCTTCCATACCCTACTCCTCAGGCTGAACACCCTTCTTCTTCAACTCCTCCCTCTTCCTCCCCGCCCTCCCCTTCGCATCCTCAACCCACGCCTCATAAGCCCCCTCCCCCTCCTTCAACTTCGCCCTCGTCACGGCTTTCAACAACTCCCCCACAAACCCCACAAAGTTATGCCTCCTCAAACTATTCTCATACAGCCACCTCGCGCGCTTATCTTCTTGCTCTTCCAGCTCGTCCTCGTCGCCTATCTCGCGTGCGCGGATGCGAAGGTCGCGACAGCAGGCCATGAGGTTGAACCGGATTTCTGAGGCCGGGTAGCGCGCGATGCGGCGTTGGAGGACGGGGATGATTTTGGCGGGGAAGTCGGTGGGCGTGCAGGGGCCGTGGAGGATGGGCGCGGGTTGCAGGCCGTCGAGTTCGTAGAGTTTGTTGTTTATGGATGTGTAGCTGGGGGGGTGGGTTAGTGGGTGGGCTGTGGGGGAGGGGGGAGGTTGTAGGGAAGGGAGGTGACTTACGCGATGAAGTGGAAGACATCGTCGTCTTCAGTAGCCGTCCTTTGCGTCTCGTCGACGAAAGGCGAGGAGCGCGCGAAGGAGTTGTGGGTTTCGCGGATGAGATCCGAGTTCGACAGTGTTTCTCCTCGTAGCTATGCCTCTTATCAGCCCCTCATATCCAAAGCATAGGTACAGTCCCTGCCTTGACATACCTCTGGCGGAAAGTCCCCAGCAAATTCCTTGAACTCCTTCAATTCCTTGCCGATATCCACCTCCTCTTCCCTATTCAGCAGCAGCGAAACAATCGCCTGTGTACCACACGCATTCTGTATCGTTTGCGCAGGGAAGAAGAGCTTATTCGCCGCTTCGTAGTCGTACGTCCCGTCTTTCGGTACGTCGCTGGGTTTCTCGCCGGTCGGGTACTTGAAGAGGAAGATTACACCGTACAGTGTACCGAGGGCTTGTAAGTCTGAGGGTTCGAGTGTGGTGAGTTCTTCGAACTCTACGCCCTTGACACCGAGCTTCTCGATGAGGTATGTGAAGACACCCTGTTGGGGTTGTTAGTTATGCGATTCTCGAGAAGGTGAGGGTGAGCTTACGGCATCAGACTCTATGGTGTTCCAGCCTCCCGACATAGTTGCGTAAAGGTAGAGCGGTGAGGTGCGCGAGTGTGCTGTCGATGTGTTTGGACCTACGCCATCGACAGGCGCCGCCGGAATAACTCCTCGGCCCGCGCTTCGGAACGTTCCGATGCCCCACTATGAATGGAAGTGAGCAAGGTCGTCCCATGTGCTGACCCCTCTACCCGGTATCGCTCGTGTTCATGGAATCGTCTTCTCGTGTCACAGAACGAACGTCTTGGCGAAGTTGTATAGATGCGGCCACAGCATGGAATCGATGCATCAGCCCTGCAATGACGTCTACGGTTCCAAACTTTCACTTCATTCCAGCCGTCTCCAAGGCTACCTAGGTATGGCTAGCGCAAGGCCGACGGGACTCCTTACTCAGTACTTCTAGTCATCTCAGATCTCTTTGCAAAATTCCCTTTGTCATACTTTTATACAGGTACATCTGCTGTGTACCGGCAGATAGATCGGGAGCACGCTCCTCAGCTTGCTTCACGATAAGCTCATACTGTCAGGTTCTTTCTCCTTTCAAGACTAGAGCTCCATTCCATTCACGCCGATTTCACTTTCCCTTTCGTCCTATTGGCAGCCACAGCTTTTAGTATGCATCTTGAGTGGGACTGTGCTGAACCCTGGTCGGCTTCCCGAGCACGCAATGGAGTTGCAACTTCGCGCGATGGGCGTGGGTAGCGACTACCCAGATACATCAGAGCGTAAACAGATCCAAAGGTATATCAGCACTGTGAATTTTGCAAAACTCAATTCTCGCACACAACCATGATTCCAAGTCGAACTCTACTGTTGCTGTCCTTCAGTGTAGCCGCTGTTACAGGGCGCTCTTCCAAACCCAACTTCATCTTCATCATTACCGACGATCAAGACTTGCACTTGAACTCGCTCGACTACCAGCCTGCTGTGCAGAAGCATTTCGCCCAGGAAGGTACTTGGTTCAAGAAGCATTTTTGCACCGTAGCACTATGTTGCCCGTCACGAGTGTCGCTCTTGACTGGGAAAGCTGCCCATAATACGAACGTCACGGACGTGTCTGCTCCTTACGGTGCGTCGGATGTGAAGGGATAAGCTAGAAAAGTATGCTCACTACCAACAGGCGGGTATCCTAGATTCATTGAAGAAGGTTTCAATGATGCTTATCTTCCCGTGTGGCTTCAGGAGGCGGGCTACAACACATATTACACTGGAAAACTGATGAATGGACACTCCACCTCTACATACGATGCACCACGAGCTAGTGGCTGGAACGGTTCTGACTGTAAGCATCCCAATACCACTGCAGCGACGCTGTCTCGCCACTGACACCCACAGTCCTGATTGACCCCGGAACATACGTCTTCTACAACTCAACCATGACACGTAACCACGACACCTACAGAAACCTACCAGGAGAATACTCAACCGACCTCGTAGCCAACGCCGCAGTCTCCTTCCTAGACGAAGCCATCGCAGCACCAGACCGACCATTCTTCATCGGCGTCGCACCCATAGCCCCCCACTCAGAAACAATCACCAACCCACGCCCCACAAAGTTTAACCTGCCAGTTCCCGCAAAGCGACACGAACATCTCTTCTCCGACGTAAAAGTACCCCGAACACCAAACTTCAACCCCTCAAAAGTAAGTCAAGCCCGCTTCCCCTCTGCACTGCACACCCCATCTAATCCCCCCACCCCATCAGCCAGGAACAGCATCCTACTTCTCCACGCTCCGCCCGCTCAACGCCTCAGAAATTGCGTACAACGACGCCTGGTACCGCGCGCGCCTGCAAACCCTCCAATCCGTCGACGACCTCATCAACTCCATCATGAACCGTCTGAGCGAAGACCCCGAGGTATTGGAAAACACTTATTTAATTTACACAACAGACAACGGCTTCCACATCAGCCAACACCGGCTCCCGCCCGGTAAATCCTGCGGCATAGAAGAAGACATCAACATCCCCTTCTTCATCCGCGGCCCGGGCATCGCCAAGAACGCAGTGATGGATATTCCTAGTAGTCATACGGATATCGTGCCGACGCTGTTTCACCTCGCTGGTATACCAGCTCGCGAGGACTTTGACGGGGAGGTTATTCCCGTTACGGGGGCGATGCAGGAAAGGGGTGGGAAGAGCGAGCATGTCAACATTGAGTTTTGGGGCGAGTATTTGGTGGAGGGGAATACGTTTTATGGACAGAGTGCGTGGGCGAATAATACGTATAAGACGGTGAGGGTGGTGGGGGAGGAGTATGATTTGAGTTATACGGTTTGGTGCACGAATGAGCGGGAGCTTTATGATATGAAGGTGAGTCTCATTTCGCTGTTCTCTCTCACACTTCCTTTACTTCATAGGCTTGGAAATCAGGGAGCTGACAAACCCAACAAGACCGACCCCTACCAACTCATCAACCTCCTCTCCACACCTAACACCAACACCACCTCCTCCACCACTCACATAAACACCTACCCCATCCTCCCCCTAACCGCCCGCCTCGACGCCCTCCTCCTCACGCTCAAGCGCTGCAAAGGCCGTGTGTGTACGCGACCATGGGAGAAATTGCATCCCGACGGCAATGTACGCACTCTGAAAGATGCTATGCATGAAAAGTACGATGTGTTTTACTTAGAGAAGCAGAAGAAGGTTAGTTTTGAGGAGTGTGCGTTGGGTCAGATATTGGAGGTTGAGGGGCCGCTGGAGCCGGTGGCTTGGAGGGAGGAGTGGGATGAGTGGAGTTGGGGGACGTAGATGGTGAAGGAACGGCGTGGAATGGTTGGGGAGGGAAGGGGAGTGATGTGTCGTGAGAGTGATCAACGATGTTTCTCCTCCACGTCTGCGAGACGTGCTGAGCACCCAAACCTAGCCAGAGTGAAAAGAAACAGCATCGCGCCCAAGTCTAATCTAGATGGAACATGCCTCACTCTTCGAAGCAATCTTGCTCCGACACCGTCTAAACAGTATCAAGGCTGGTCCAGCTAAGCCATCCCTTCTCTTACCGCCGTTTCGAAGATCAGGGCGTGCACTCACTCCTCCCTGTCGAAGAAAAGGTCACGAAAACGGCAGGATACATGTCCATCATCGGCGCTTCCGAAGAGCATTCCTCGTCAACATGTCCCCGACAAGATGTCCCATAAGAATTGAAGCACGTGTAGCCAATTACTAACTATAATTCCAACCAACATGTTCTCAGCATGCAAGAAGTATAGCAGTACAAAGCAGAACTATACATCCACAGCACGTCTAAAAGCTGTTTGCAATTCTCTACAGAAGCTAGAGATACGCATACCAAAGTATCAAAGACAGCACCCCACATCGACCACTTCTTCGGCCGAGACCTCAAACAATCCCATCATCGCTCGAAATAATTTGCATGGCATTTCGCACGTGCAGCTACCTAGGTGCATCAGCGTAACCACAACCCCAAACTAACGTCTCAGCTCCTACCATTCAACCTCCAGAAATATACACAACCCCCCACCATCAAATCTTCAACCCTCCAATCACGCCCTCAGCGTCCCTTACCGGCACTTCGCGCCAACCTCGTATTTCGGAGTTATAAAAAAGTCTTACCCTACCCACATCCACGTTCCACTACCGTACTTTCAGCCTCACGCATGCATTAATGGCAGCGCCGCGCTAATGGGACGTGCCGTAAATACGAGAATGTATGACGGTACCGAGTAGAAGCCAGTGCAGAAGCTACGCGTCGCGTTCGAAGCGATCAACACCGCGTACGACACCCAGTCACGTTACCTAACGTAGTTGGCCCAACTTGCGAGGGATGTAGGACCGAGAGGAGGCCGTGCGTTTCCACTGTTTTCTAGGGTTGACAAAGGCTTGTTGGGTTTGGGAGGTTTGTCGATGTACGATGTACGAATCAGAAAGCATGTGTTAGTACGAGATGCAGAGTAGGAAGATCTTCGAAGACTATGTTTCACGCCTGGCACGTGGTGGATGCTAGGTGTTTTTTGGGCTGTTCGAGTTGGGATCAATATGTTTAGTAGTAGCGAAGGCAGCCGTGGAGTGGTGCCACGATATGCGTTGCATATCCAAATACACACGCTACGTGTCAGTGTATTCGCTGATCCCTTTGCAACCTCACCGTAAGGTAACATCCTCACTACCATAATAGCAGTACATAGTAGCACAGCAGAGTCGCAATCGCAATCGCAGTCGCAGTCGCAGTCGCATGCACAGTACCAGCAGATCTACCATCCATCGGGTCAACTCCCCCCGTCTTAGATATGCCCGCATACAGCTTAGCCCACCCCCAAAACCCCAATTGGGGGGTTTGGAGACATAGAAAGCATACAAAGGTGAGGCTTAGCTCCCCGACTAGTAGTCAGTTATCGGAGTATGGGCGTGGGCGGTCGGAAGGAAGGAAGGAATGCGGGAATCGACTGATAATGACATCGTGGGATGCTCCGTCCGGCAATCAGTTCAGGCAGATTTGCGGGCGAAAAGGGTGTGTGTGTGTGTGTAGGAGATGTCTCCGCGTGCTGATGGTTGGGGGTCGACGTAGAGTTTAGGCAGTTGGGTGTTAGTCTTCGCGAACTTATTTAGTTAGCAGCGTCGACGGTCGGCTTTCGCTTCCAAAGCTTGTGCGCAGAAACGTGGCAATGCGACGCGGCGTTAGAAGAGCGCCAGAAACGCCAGAACCCATCGGATCGTGCTTGTCCGAGGTGGGTGAACCAGAGGAAAACAAACTTTGGCATCGTGGCTTTCTCCGCGAAAAACGCGCCATGGCGATGGTGAGCAGCGCGCACAAGTCGGGGACAGGCCAGCCACACGGCTAACGCAGCTCTGGTGTCCGTGCCAGACGCGAGGCTCTACTCGTTCTTTCGTTCAGCCACCCCTTATGTACGCGCGGATCATATCGTCGAGGCTTCGGAACTTTCTCCAGCATTCGGCTTCATCACGCCTAGGTTCATGTACACACAGTACATGATGTACCTACAGCGACCGACCGACCCTCCGCCTCGGCTCGACATGACAATGACCACATTGAGGCTCACCCACCCATCCACCCACCCATGCACGCTTGATCCCCAGAATAGAAACTATCAATGACCTGTTCGGTATTAGTAGAAATCGGGGGCTGCTGCTGCTGCTGCTGCTGGGGCTGCACGGCTGTCAGAAAGTAGAGATCTGCTTTCCTGCAGGTGCTGGTGCGTGAGCGCTGGCAGGGTGCGCGAGCGCAGGTGCGCATCCTTCGGCCGACCGAGCTCACGCATTTTTTTTGTTTGGTTTGGTGGTTGATCGTCGCGTCACGTTTTCTCTCTGTCCCTTCGGAAGCCGGACAAAAGCCAGATCCGAGCCCCGGGCGGTGGTTGGTGGATTCCAAGTGCGGTGAGAACAAGAACCAACGTCGAGTGAGACTCGAGTCAGCGCGCTGGTACTCTACGGGTAGTGCCCGTTGCGTTCTGCCAGGTCAGAATTTTGGAGTGTCATGGTGTGCTGCGACAAGAGGATACTATGGCGAGTGGAAAACCATCTGCATCATCCGATAGTTCGCAAAGTTCCGATTCTTTTGGTGGATGTGATGAGTGATCATTTATGCAAACCTACTCCATTTCCACATCCTCGAGACGAGATCTCGGCATAATAGCACCGCAACAGCCCACACCACGGAGGCCGTGGGCCACGGGAGAGTGGGGGACATGCCCTGGACGTCCGACTCTCAGCGGCCAGCTGCAGAGAAAAAAACGTGTAGGGCGCGATGGAGACAGCGGAGCCCAAACGTTCCAAGAGAGCGGAGCCGCTTGAACAGCGTCCCTCAGGAACGGCGGAAATTTCTTGTGGGTCGCCCTCTCACATTGGGAGGCACGTTTGTTGGAGGGAGGAGGAGGAAGCAAGGAAGCGCGTGCACAGAGTTTCTACTCGCCTGCCCTGGTCCATCGTCCTTCCGCTAACTCGACACCAGGGACGCGGCTAAGCAACCTGCCGGACTTCCATGATGCAACGCCTATCTGGGATGTTTGAAGCAGCTGGCCAGCAGACGACCCAAACTTTTTCACCTGCAAGTTGCAACACTACCGGGTAGCTCTCTTTCTCTCGCGCTCTTCGGGCAGACCATGGATATGCCTTGTAAGAGCTCAAGTACCGAGATGCCGAGGAGATGGTTCTCGCAGTCCCAATCCAAGAGCAACCCTGTAGACCCTGGCGTGAGCACTATTAGCTAAGACGTAACAAAGTGCTGGAATTGTCGGTGAACCGCTTTGGGGTCGCAAAGCCGAAGGCAGCCTTCTTATTGACAAGCAAGTGTTGCGACGGCAAGTGTGTGATGGCTGGCGATGGAAATGGGGAAGGCAGCGAGAAAGTGGAATAATTGCGAGAGAAAGTCATAGGAATTCGCTTGCACCTTCCACTTTGCATGCTGTGGCTGACATGGATGCCGCTCCCGTTGTGTCGTTATGGTTATGCATTGGAATCCTCCAAACGCCTGACGCCGCACGCAAAAACGACCAATCGACATCGTGATGCGCAAGTCCCTTCGAACACACCATATCAGCCCTATCTCCATAACGTTGACCGGTCTCTGCACCAACAAGTAGCCTGCCAAGCCGGAGCATTCTGTGGCGGTGCAGCCATCACAGCATTTTCGCAATCCCACACAAAACAAGGTTGGCGCAGACAGCATGTGTGCGTGGCTGGTGAGAGAACGGTGTGACGATTCGTACGCGTTAGCCAGGCTAGGCGAGTGAGCAAATCCTATCCCGCTACCCGCGAAAAGCGAAATCCAGCGCACTGGTATGACATCAAGCTCGAGCCTACTGTACGCTGTAGGTCATACCTTAGCGCGGCCGTTGTCTTTTGATCCTTAACTATCCTTTCTTTGTGTCAGGGTTTACCCATCCGGGAAAACCTGGGAGTTACGTCTTGGACGGCATTGAAGAGAACTATTGCGCTGAATCGAGACTGCATTGTCGGCAACATGCTTGTACGTAAACCCGCAGTGCTGGGTTGATAATTGATAATGGGAAGCGATGGTGGGGGATTCGGTCTTGATTGGCGGCAGGAAGGCTAAAATTGGTAGCTGACCTGTCCATCTTTCACGCGAGCATGCAGGGCAGACCCTGGCCATCACATGGAGAAACTAGGACTAGGGCTGAGAAACTAGGACGGTGTTGGACAACCTTAATTCTTCTGTGCATTGCTATCTAGCTGGTGCCTAAGTATCCTTGCCCTTCTCTGTACTCGGGGAAGTGCGGACGGCGCTCAATGAGGAAGACGTTTTCCCTGAGCGTGGTTGTTCGTTCGCTGCGCTATGCAAGCTTTCCGTCATGTCGTTATGTGGCGTACAGTGAGAGCCTCGTCAGGCTTCCTCCACGCCGGGCATCAGTCCCGCAGCTCGATGCGCCTTTTCCTACAATGTAGCGAACTCCGGTCCAACTGCGGCTGACATAACAGGGGACGATGCGCGCGTTGCATGTTGGTGCGAAACATGTCCACTTGTTGTTCCGTCCACCTTGCGTCTGTCCGGATATTGCGCCGAAGCGCCGCAGCAGCCAAACCGCGAACGGCTTACGGCGGAAGCCACAGCACCGTGCCAGTGGTGGCATGTCATAGGTCCGACTCGGGTGTCATGATTGACAGAGATCAATCGATCGGAAATTGTTCGTCTCGCACACCAGTGGATACAGCGAGGACGGGCCGGGCGGATGTCAGGTTTCGTTGCGTGCGCATGGTTCCTCGAATTTCCGCCGACATGGTGCTCTCAGGCGTGGTTGTACTGGCTGGGAAGGTAC